TAGCAAGCCCTTATAGGATTTCTGAAAAGCAGCTGGTGAGCCTGAACCACTGACCTTTCAGTTCAGACCCACCTTGCGGACCAGCGCATTAACCCACAGCGCCACACCAGGACTCTATGGTGGTGGTGGTGGTGGTTATGTGCCATGGAGTGGGGTCCAACACATAGCAACCCTGTATAGGGTTTCCAAGGCTGTAAATCTTTACTGGAGCAGAAAGATTCATCTTTCTCCCACGAAACTGCTGGTAGTTTCAAACTGCTGACTCATAGAGTAGCAGCCTGATGTGTAACCACTAAGCTTCTTCCAGGCCAATAGGGAACCTTTTTTCTACCAAGTGTCATTGGGATATTTATAACATCATTTGCAGGCCATACAAAATTATCATCTTAAAAATTAGCCTGCTGTATTTGGTCAAACATATTTAATTAACTCACCACTCATGTGACTCCTGTAGGATCAGCATTGGACTGTGAACCATAAGGTCGGCAGTTCAAACCCACCAGCTGCTCTTCAGAAACCCTATACAGGATCACTGTGAGTCAGAACCAACTTGACAAAACTTAACAATATACAGCCCTCTGGTTGGATATTCCTCACCCCTGCTGTATAGGGTTTCCAAGGCAGTAAATTTTTACCGAAGCAAAAAGCCTCATTTTTCTCCTGCAGAATGACTGGTAGATTTGAACTGCTGACCTTGGGGTTAGCAGCCCATCATGTAACCACTATGCTATTTTATTGGACCCTTTCTTAAATAACCTTTAAATTTTTCATTGTGCATGTTGATTACCTAATGCAGTGTTTTTCAACTTTTTTTGCATTATCACTTCTACGAGGTGCTTTATTGAAGCTTTGGTGGTTCTGTAGGATAAGCACTGGGTTGCTAACCACAAGGTCAGCAGTTCAAATTGACCAGTCCATGGGAGAACTGTAAGGACTTACAGCTGCAGAAACCCTATGTTGTTGTTGTTAAGTGCCATTGAGTCAATTGCGACTCATAGTGAGCCCGTATCAGATTTCTGAGGAGCAGCTGGTGAGCTTGAACCACCGACCTTGAGGTTCAAACTGACTTTGCAATCCTGCGCATTAACCCACAGCACCACACCAGGACTCCCAGAAACCCTGTACAGAGTTACTATGAGTTGCAACCAACTCCACAGCACCTTACAGCAAGAAGTAGACTCAAACTAGCCTCTCTATACAAGAAAGATGAGGTTGTCTGCTCCTATAACGATTTACAGTCTCAGAACTCCTACATGGGGTCACTATTAGTTGGAATCAACTCAACGGCAGTGCATTTGGTTTAAAGAGATTGTTAAGACATTTAATTTTTCTAATTATCCTCACTTAATGAAATTTTAACATCACAGATATGCTGTATACCTATTTATGCACTCTGCAAGTATATTCATTCCTTATGTATAAAATGAATAACAATTTTTCACCCTCTCAAGATTACATTTTCACTCCCTTAGTGATGATCTAACCCGCATTGAGACTGTATTGCCTAATAGAGCATTATGGGGGGAAATGGTTATTTTAGCTTTTACAATGAGTTTCAATATGTTTTGTTTTATAGTTGCCTGCCTCTCAAACATCATATGGTGACCACTCCAACACTACTACTGTGGGGCGAGAGAGATGCATTTATGGAGGCTGAGATGGCTGAAGTCACAAAGATTTATGTTAAAAACTATTTCAGGTTAACTATTTTGTCAGAAGCCAGTCATTGGCTTCAACAAGACCAACCTGACATAGTGAACAAGTTGATATGGACATTTCTAAAAGAAGAATCAAGAAAAAAAGATTGACTTTTCTATATCTTCTATGAGGGGTCTGCAATGATATTGCTAAATAATTTCTAACAATTGTTCATTAACTTCCTTATGCTTTATTAGGGAAAATGGTTTTAATATTCTTTGTCTTAACTAAATATACTGACAACATGGAATTAAAAAAAAAAAAAGAGTGTGTGATGTGAACATGTAATATAATGCTTATTTACTCAGTTGTGTTTTGCACAGAAAAGCATCTGCCTTAAAATGTATACACTTGTACAAAAATGAAGTTGGGAAAAGTGGCTCAGTTTTGGTTTATTGCTTTCTTTACCCTGTTTACATATGGTGCCTTTATCAAATATATATTTAAGATTAGATGTGCCATATTAAAAGACAAACTTAAAATGGTTTAACTTTTCATTTTATTGTTTAAAGTTCTTTTTACTATTTTTTAACCATTAAAAGATTCTATTACCAAGTCTCTTGAATTTCTAGTTTATGCACTAAATTAAAGGAAAATATATCTAAATTAATATGCCTAGATGAAATACTTCTATTCAACCAAGGGATGATGCAGATTCCCATATATATATGAGTGTATGTGTATATATACACACACACCACACACACATATAAGAGCCCTGGTGTGGTGCTGTAGGTCAGTGCTTCATATCCACCAGCTGCTCTTGGAAACTCTATACAGGGTGGTTATGAGTCAGAACCAACTCAACAGAACTTAACAACAACAACAACATGTACTAGAATAAAAACTCCACAGGACAGAGATTTTTTTTTACTACTTTGTTAACAAGTATATCTAGCATTGAGAGTAAGGGTTTGGCACATTATAGGTACTCAAATAAATGCTTAATTAGTAATAATATATGATGGGGTTTCAAAATTCATGGGAAAATTCCATTGTCTCTTAATTCTATTTTCCACAAACTTTTTGAAGCCCCTTGTTTCTGACACACTGCTATGTATTTTGAGGGATAAAAGTAGATGACATGATAACACTGAACTGTCCCTGAAGAAGCATACACAGAATACAGTTAAGTTAAACTATGGTTCAGGAATTGAAATAGACATTACAAATAAGAGTAGGAAAAGAGTTAAAGAATAGAGAAATGATAACAGCTCAAGGTGTAACTCATTCTTTCCTGGGTTGCTCTACTTTGCTCCGTGTCCCTATGTAAGTTCTGAATTGGTGAAAGGAATTCTCCCTCCCAAAAATAAAGTAAAATAGTATCCTAGCAACCTGTGCATCATAGCATCATTACCAGAGAGGAGTATCATTAATTTATGAATGTGAAAATGAGTTTTAACAAGTTACTTAGCCAATGCCTACAGTATAAGTGCTGAAGCCAGAACCTGGCCTACATCAATTTGGTTGTAAAATCCATGAACTTCCCATTTAGATCACATTCTGATTAACAGGCTTTGCTATCACACCATTCTAACAGTTTTATTGGTAACTGGTAGGCTCTAAAAAATGGAAAAATCTCACAGAAACTCGAAATTTGACTTTTAAGTCTTGGAAAATGAATTCATACATTGCTGTTAAGTGCCATCGAGCTGGTTCCGACTCATAGTGACCCAGTATAGGGTTTCCAAGGAGCTGATGGTAAGTTTGAACCGCCGACCTTGTGGTTAGCAGTCCAGTGCTTACCCTACAGTACCAAATCAGGACTTCTATACAGCATTAATAAAGTTGCAAAGTATAGAAGAACTTTTTATTACTTTCCTCCTATTCACTTCAGATTACTTTGCTGCTCTCAAAGGAAGGTGCAGACTGTTGACTGTGTGTGCAGACACTCAGAAATTCACTTATTTGAACCTGTTACCAACAAAAGTGATTTTCAGGTTTGTTGTTATTCTTACTTAATGCCAGTTTGGTTTGCTGACTGATTCATGTGGACTATTGTTAAGAACATAAATCAAATATGCCATTGTCAATTCTGGCCTGTTTTAATGAATATGCATTATTTTTTTCCAAATGAATGTGGAAAAAGTACTTGTAACAGGTATGCAGTTTGGAAGGATAAAGACGTCTCACTTCCTCCTTAGAAATTCGTTTGTAAGATTAAGAATGTTTGACTTAACCAACTGGCAAAACAGTTATGTAGGTAACTTTACCGTTTTGTTGTTAAGTGCCAGTTGAGTCAGTTCTGACTCATAGCAACTTTGTATAGGGTTTCCAAGGAGTGGCTTGTGGTTAGCAGTCCTGTGCTTATCCCATAGCATCACACCAGGACTCTAACTATACTGGTTGTTGTTGTTAAGTGCCGTTGAGTCAGTTCCGACCCATAGCGACCCTGTATAGGGTTTCTGCTAAGCGGCTGATGAGCTTGAACTGCAGACCTTGTGTTCAAACCACCTTTGCAATCCAGCGCACTTACCCACAGCGCCACACCAGGACTCTATTGGTGGTGGCATTTAAATTTTAAAAGTTGCAATTAATCTATTCCTTGGGTGATGCAAAAGATTAAGTGCTGGCTACTAACCAAAAGGTTGGTAGTTCGAACCCATTCAGAGACACCTTGAAAGAAAGGTCTGGGAACTGCTTTTAAAAGGTTGTTGTTGTTATTGTTAAGTGCCATTAAGTTGGTTCTGACTCACAGTAACCCTATATATGGTTTCCAGAGAGAGGCTGGTGAATTTGAACCGACTTTGCGCTTCTTTATCCAGTGCTTATCTCATAGCCCAGAAAGGAAACAGACTTAAACAGCATAGTGGTTACGAATTGGGCTGCTAACCTCAAGGTCAGCAGTTCGAAACCACCAACTGTTCCTCGGGACAAAGATGAGGCTTTCTGCTCTTGTAAAGATTCACAGCCTCAGAAACCCTGTACAGGGTCGCTATGAGTCGGAATCGACTCCATAGCACATCACCACCACCAAGCTTTGTCAAAAGCAAGATGTTTGCAAAAGAACAATTACAAAGAAAAACCCTCCACCAGTTTTCTATTGCAATTCTGATTCTTCTGTTAAATCATTTGCCCTCTGTGATGTTTTTCTGATTTTATAAGTAATACATCATTTCCTATTAACCCACAATTGTGTCAGAGTTCTGATTATGTGCAAACAGAACAGGCTTAGCGACGTGGGGGAGGGGTGAGTTCAGCCGTGGTCCCCAGAGACCAAGGGCACCGTGAGAAGCGGACCACAGGATTTCCTCATCCAGGACTCGGAGTCGCCCATGGAAGGGACGGTGGAGGCAACCTCTGATCGAGAGCTGTGGGAATCCAGGAGACTGTCAAGGACCAAGTCTTTATTCTCACCGGCTGTGGTTAACCCCTTTGTGCATCGGATTCACTTCAGTGCCTGGCAATGGGTTTGCACCTTCCTCTTGGGCACTGTGCTGGTGCCTGTGCGAGTGTCCTGCATGGTCCTCCTCTCCCTCTTCATCTGGCCCATGGTCACACTTGCCACCATTTGCCGTCCTGCTAAACCAGCCCTGCCAGCCTCGAATTGGAGAAGAAAACTGACGCAGCCAGTTCTCAAGATCTTGTTACAGGCAATGTTCTTTTCTGCGGGGTTCGTGGTTAAAGTGAAAGGGAAAAAGGCAAGGCGAACCGAGGCCCCCATCTTAGTGGTGGCGCCGCATACCAGCTTCTTTGACGCAATCGTCTGTGTTGTGGCAGGGTTACCTTCAGTGGTCACGGCTACTGAAAACACAAGGATTCGAGGGGTTGGGAAAGTTCTACTTTCCACGCAGCCAGTACTTGTGACCAGAGATGACCCCAATTCCAGGAAGAATACCCGGAATGAAATCCTGAGGCGTGTGGCATCCGGAAAGAAATGGCCACAGATCCTGATTTTCCCAGAAGGCGTGTGCACCAATCGCTCCTGTCTAGTCACCTTTAAACTTGGGGCCTTCACTCCGGGTGTTCCCGTGCAGCCAGTGTTGCTCAGGTATCCAAACACTCTGGACACGGTGACCTGTACCTGGCAGGGCTTATCAAGATTACAGGTCTTTCTGTTGACTTTGTGTCAACTCTTCACCAGGGTGACTATTGAGTTTATGCCTATTTATACCCCAAATAACGACGAAAAAGAAGATCCAATCCTTTTTGCCAATACAGTACGGATCAACATGGCAAATGCCCTGGGAGTACCTGTGACAGATCACACTTATGAAGATTGCAAACTGATGGTTTCTGCAGGTCACCTTCAACTACCCATGGAAGCTGGTTTGGTGGAATTTACGAAAATTAGTCATAAATTAAAGTTAGATTGGGATAATATTCATCAGTGTTTGGATGAATATGCTGCAATTGCAGTTGCCTCCGAAGGAGGAAAGATAGGAATTGAAGAGTTTGCAAGATTCTTAAAACTCCCTATTTCAAAGCCCCTGAGACAACTTTTTGCTCTCTTTGACAGAAACAAGGATGGCAGCATAGACTTCAGAGAGTATGTGATCGGTCTGACTGTCCTATGCAACCCTGACAACACTGAACAGATTCTCCGGATGTCATTTAAGCTTTTTGATCTTGATAAAGATGGTTTCATCACAAAAGAGGAGTTAACGTCTATTCTTAGGGCAGCTTTCGGAGTGCCACATCTTGATGCTTCTAAACTCTTTCGGGAAATAGCTGGACAGAACACAGAGTACATTTCATTCAAAACCTTTAAGAAATTTGGCCTGAAGCATCCAGCATATGCCAAGTTATTTAGTTGCTACCTAGATCTTCAGGCAGCCCATGTATGTTCATTATCACAAGCAATAAAGGTTTAATCACTGCTTTTAAAGGTTAAAGTCAGCCTGAAAGTGATTAAAGTTACTTTTCAGGTAGAAACTCTGATTGGAATAAAAATTTCATTTAAGGGGAAAATGCAATAGATTTTAGTCTAAAGGTCATGGACATTTAGTTGATATTAAAAATATGCTTTTTATTTTATGTTTTAACCAGATTATATAGCATCTATTTTTCTTTTTTTAAGATAACTTTGTTTCGCTCAATGTGATCTAAAGGTAAAAGGTTAAGGGAACTGGTTTAATAAGCTTTGTTCACCTACCAGGCTTCTAGTTAATGTCTTTATTGTGCTTGTTGTTATTGTTAAGTGCCCTCAAGTTGGTTGCAATCCATACCAACCCTGTATAGGGTTTCTGAGGAGCAGCTGGTGAGCTTGAACCACCTACCTTGTGGTTCAAAGCAACTCTGCAGTTCAGCGCATTAACCCGCAGTGCAACATCAGGACTCCTTTATTGTGCTTAATTAATGCCACATTAAGTCCAGAGGAGTGTTAAAGCTTATTACCTCTCCCTCACTTTTGCATATGGAGTTGTTGTGAAGTGCTGCCGAGTTGGTTCCAACCCATAGTGACCCTGTATAGGGTTTCTGAGGAGCAGTAGGTGAGCTTGAATCACCGACCTTGCAGTTCAAATGGCTTTGCAGTCTAGTGCATTAACCCACAGCACCACAGCATGTGGAGTACAGCTAGTGAAATATAACTTTGTGGAGGAAATAGTACTAATTTAGAAAAAAAGCCTTACTTATCAGAATGGAAAATAACGCGAGGGTAGGGAGAAGGTAAAACTCCAGGGGGTAGCCTTAAAAATGTTGTTGTTGTTGTTGTTAGTTGCCATCGAGTAGGTACCAACTCACAGTGACTCTATGAAAAGCAAAACAAAACACGGCCTGGTCTTAGGCCAACCTCACAATCATTGCTATACTTGAGCCCATTGATGCTGCCATTGTGCCAATCCAATTCGCTGGGGGTTTTCCTCCTTTTCCCTGACCGTCCACTTTATCAAACATGATATCCTTCTCCAGTGACTGGTCCCTCCTGGAAATATGTCCAAAGTATGAGAGACGAAGTCTGGCCAACCTGGTTTCTAAGGAGCACTCTGGATGTACGTTTTCCACTACAGATCTATTTGTTCTTTTGGCAGTCCATGGTACTTTCTATATTCTACTCCAACACCATAGCTCAAATGTATCAATTCTTCTACAGTCTTCCTTATTCACTATCCAGTTTTCTCATACATATGAGGTTATTGGATATACCGTGGCTTGGGTCATGTGCACCTTAGTCCTCAAACTGACATCTTTGCTCTTGAACACGTTAAAGAGTTCTTGGGCGACAGATATTCCCAAAGCAATATTTCATTTGATTTCTTGACTGCTGCTTCCATGAGTGTTGATGGTTGATCCAAGAAGAATGAAGTCTTTGACAACTTTAATCTTTTCTCCATTTATATGGATGTTGTTTATTGATCAAATGGTGAGGAGTTTTGTTTTCTTTACATAGAGGTGCAGCCCATTCCAAAGCCTGTGGTCTTTGATCTTCATCAGTAAGAACTGTAAGTCCTCTTTGCTTTCAGCAAGCAAGGTTGTATCATCTGCATATCACAGGTTATTAATGAGTCTTCCTCCAATCCTGATGCCACATTTTTCAGCTTCTCAGATTATTTATTCAGCATACTATGGATAAGTATGGTGAAAGAATATAACCTTGGTGAACACCTTTCCTAATTTTAAACCATTTGGTGTTCCCTTGTTCTGTTCAAACAACTGCCTCTTGGTCTATGTACGGTTCGTCATGAGCACAATTAAGTGTTCCAGAATACTCATACTTTTCAATGTTGTTCATAGCGTGTCATGATCCACACAATCGAAGGATTTGCATAGTTAATAAAGCACAGGAAACATCTTTCTGGTATTCTCTACTTTAGCCAAGATCCATCTGACATCAGCAATGATATTCCTCATTCTTTGCCCTCTTCTGAAACTGGCTTGAACCTCTGGAAGTTTTCTGTCAATAAAACTTTACTCACATTGGATATCAATGATATTGTCCAATGATTTCTGCTTTCCTCTGGGTCACCTCTTTAGAATGGGCACAAATACAGATCTCTTCCAGTCAGTAGGACAGGTAGTTGTCTTCCAAATTTCTTGGCAAAAATGAGTGTATGCCTCCAGTGCTGTATCACTTTATTGAAAGATTTTGCCAGTGACTCAATGCACTTTGGACTTCTTCTTTCAGTATCATTGGCTCTAGATCATATACTACCTCTTGAAATAGTTGAACATCAATCATATTTTGGTACAGTGACTCGGTGTATTCTTTCCATCTTTTGATGCTTTCTTCATCTTTCAGTATTTTGCCCATAGAATCCTTCAATACTTCAAGTCGAGGATTGAATTTTTTCTTCAGATCCCTCAGCTTGAGAAATGCTGAGCATGTTCTTCCCTTTTGGTTTTTTTAAACTTCAGGTCTTTGCACATTTTGTTATAATAATTGACTTTGTCTTCTCAAGCTGACCTTTAAATTTTTCTGTTTACCTCTTGTAACTCCTCACTTTTTCCATTTGCTTTAGCATTTCTACGCTGCAGAGCAATTTTCAGAATCTCTTCTGATATCCATTTTGGTCCTTTCCTTCTCTCTTGTCTTCTCAATGACCTTTTGCTTTCTTCCTGTAAGATGTTCTTGATGTCATCCCACAACTCTTGGTCTTCGGTCTTTAGTGTCTAATACATCAAATCTGTTCTTGAGATGATCTCTAAATTCAGGTGGGTTATATTCACAATCATATTTTGGCTCTCGTGGATTGTTTTTATTTACTTCAGCTTCAGCCTGAATTTGCCTGTGAACAATTGATGGTCTGTTCCACAGTCTGCCCCTGGACTTTATTTGGCTGATGATAGGGAGAAGGAGAAATGGACTACTTCCAAAATTTAGTCACTGAAAACCTTAAAATATGCTTTATGAAAATAAGTCATAAGCTAATAATACACTCTATAGAAGACATGGATTATCTTCTAGACCACCACTTTCTGTTCATCTTCTAGACCACCACTTTCTGAACTCTTGCCTCCAGTATAATAAGATAGGGGTTTAGAGAGCTCAGTTGACTAGACCTACATCATACAGTTAATAAATACCTTAAGCTGGATTCAAACTCATGATTCTAAAGCCTGTGTTCTTAATCATTATACCATGTGCAGAGAAGAGTCCAGAAAGAGTCTATGTGAGGTTTTGGCAGAATTCTTTATCAGGTCTGTCTATTTATTGACACTGAGAGACCACTGGACAAATTAACGGTTGACCAATCCAGTAAAAAATAGTATTACACCTCACCTTGGGTAGACAGTATATATTTTTTAAATGAGAAGTGTATGTTGTTGTTGTTAGGTGCCATCAATTTAGTACCGACCCATAGTGACTTTATGCACAGCAGAACGGAACACTGCCTGATCCTCACTACTGTTGCCATGCTTGAGTTCATCGATGCTGCCACTTGGCCAATCCATCTCATTGGGGTCTTCCTCTTTTTCTCTGACCCTCCACCTTACCAAACATGATATCCTTCTCTAGCGACTGGTCCCTCCTGACAATATGTCCAAAGTATGAG